TGTTTATGGATATATTTTGAGCAAAATTGGCAAATCTATTTATTTTATACTAAGCTATTGATAATTTACTAAAAACACACTTAATTAGTTTCCTTGTAGCAGCAAACCTAGGTATTTCTTAACCCTAATATTATTTAAATAGATTTAATTGGCAATTAATTCAGACAAATGGAAATTCGCTAGTCGGCAGGTTTGCTGCGGCAAGGGTATTTAATTATAAAGCATATTCCCGTCAGAGGTAAGGCAAGGCCTGAGGCACAATAGAGAAAGAGGGTGTAACAACCCCCTTATATATAATGAATAAATGTTTCCGGTATGTAAAGTCTATGTGGTTTCGGGTGTTTCTAAGAGTAAACATAGTTAGCAGGAAGATTTTCATCGGTACAGTACGGCATGTGTGCAATTCGAGAGTTGACAATTTTTGATAAAAATGTCTGCTTGCCAAAGGTTCAAAGATTAATTAAAATAACTGTTAAACCGTCAGTTTTGTTTATTTTCATGTATATGTTAAAGATGGCAAGATAATGTTTTGAAACGGAATTCTGCTTCTACAATGTGGGGGAAAGACATTGCGTTTACATACGTGCGTAAGTTGGCCGAATTGTAATTAAAGACCAAGAGCCTAAACAGGAGTGTAGGCCTAGGATAAATGGCTGCATAATTAATTTTTTTTCTTACTAATTGTATTAAAATATAATTTAATTTAACATAATAAATCTAACTGAACCATGTAACAAAATGTTGTAAATTGTTTATCTTTATAAACTAGCTCCAAAAGTGCTTTCTCTCTGGTTAAGCTATAACAAAAATAGCTAGTGATGTTTTCAATAGGCTACTAGGCCCGTTTTGGTTGTTGGAAAAAAGTTTGATCGGTCAGATATTACTCCACCAACCAATAATAATTTCAAGAAAAAATTATTGGAGTATCTTTGCGTTTCAATGAATTTAATATCCATGAAGAGGTATTCATTAAAAAGAAATTTACATTGCAATACGGTAATAAGAACATAAGAGATAAAAACGGTGTTAATTTTTAAAATCTATACTATTTCCTAAGTTTGAATTCAAGGAACTAATAATAAATCTAACGAAGGAAAAATGTGCAACCATTGTCCTTGATTCCTTGATGGTTTGCCCTTGGGGTGATATAACAACTTAACCTTAACCCCCCCCCCCCCCCCCCTAACGAATGTACTTTATTGACAACTATTTATGACAAAGTATGGCGAAAAGTGTATTTTGTATTTTTTGTATGGACGAAAACTAAAAAGAGAACAATTATTGAGCTACTGAGGTGTAAGTGAACAACCGTGTTAACACAACGGTGTATTGAACTGATTAGGTTTGGGTGTAAGGTAGAGAATTGAATCTCTCTCGACACCTATAGCATCGGTCCTCCCATTAGCTAGGACCGCGGCCTCCGTATACAGGGTGTTTCCAAATTGCCTGGACATATTTTGTGGACTTGTTCCTTGGGCTAAGGAAAACAAAAAATGCCATATAAGTATAGGTGTAAAATGCCTAGATTTCTGCCTGTCAGCCTGTTTGTGATTTTTTTTAAATATTTTATATTTTGGAAATTTTTCAAGACATAAATTTCAAAATTGGTATAAACGTGTAGTTTAGAAGGAAAAAGAGCTAAAAAATTTAGTTCCAATATCTCAAACCGTTTCAATATGGTGGACATTTAAAATCTTTAATGCCAACTGTCATGAAAACCGTAAATATGAAGAACATTTTTTGTATGACCAAAAAGATAGAGAATTTAAATCCTCCATCTTTTTAATAATAAAACAAATTTTCTTAATATTTACGGTTTTCATGAAATTTGGCATTACAGATTTTATTTGGTCCGCCATATTGAAATGGCTTGAGATATTGAGCAGTTTTTAAAGCTCTTTTTACCCTCTAAACTATACTAATTTTGAAATTTCTATCCTGAAAAATGCCCAAGATATAAAATAACTTTAAATAATCACAAACAGGCTGACAGACAGAAATCTAGGCATTGTAGACCCATACTTATATGGCATTTTATGTTTACCTTAGCCCAAAGAACAAGTCCATAAAATATGTCCAGGCGATTTGGAAACACCCTGTATATACTGCCACGCCACCACAAGATTCCGAAAAGAACTTATGAAACCGTCACTTACATTACACCCTACGATAAATACATCTAAATATTACAGTGTATGTTTTTTATCCTCAACTCCAACCACAGAGACGCCTTTAAGATGGTATGTTTCCTGTCTGTAACTAAACCAAACTACCTACAGAGCAAGTTCATAAATCCAAGTAGATGTCTAATAATCTAAACATCTACTTGGATCCATTACTTGGAACCATGCGAATCAGTGGTTGTATAAACAAATACTGATTCGCAGTTAGTTTTTAAAAACACTTTACAAATAGTTATTTGTGTAACTTGTGGGCAAAGTGGCAGCAAGCACACGAGAGAAATGTTTACGCACGAGCCGCAGGCGAGTGTGGAATGATCTCGAGTGCAGCAAAGGCCTTTTGCACTCGTGTTACACATTATATTTTTCCTACAGTCTTTATAAAGCATATAAATAATTAGTCTTTCAAACTATATACAATACGTTTTAGGTTAGGTTAAACCCAAGCCTTTAACGGAGTAGGAAATACTCAGCTGATTGTAGTTGTAATATCTTTAAGTGTTACTTATTTTCAAGAGTACAAGTATAAACAGTAATAATCAGTATAGACACATAATAAACAAGTAGATTGTTCTTCAAAATACGGCAATAAAATATTTTATGCCAGTTTTGTAACTTTCTTACTTACGCGCCAAGAGGAAAACAGTTAGTATGCTCGTTCATACTTCATTCTTGATTTTTCAGGTAACAGGTTTAATGAAACATGTTTTCAGTTTCTGCTAATTCTGTTCTACTATTATATGCACAGTTACTTTCACTAAGTTCATTATGTTAGGCCCACGTATAATCCATCTTTCAAATACTACACTTCAGGTTGTGTTCAAACCAAAGCGTTGAACGAAAATAGAACATAAACTATAAACACGAAATGGCAGGTTAAATCGTAGTTATAATAGTCAATCAGCTGATCATAGTATCATTATCTTTAAGTGCTGCCAACCTATTTCTAAGCGTACATGGATTACGTGCATAATAAAACCACGCTGTTTTGTGTTGTTTGGTTAAAATCCTGATGTGCGCCAAAGTATAAACCGTACGACAAAGTATAAACAGTACGACAAAGTATAAATTTACAGCAATTAGCAGCTTTCTGTACTATAAACAGTACAAGGAAGCTAACTTTGTTGGGTGACTGTAGGAAAAAGTGAATTTATCCCTTTCAGATTATTTGGAAATATTAGACACGACCCGTGTAAGAATGAGACGTATTAGCACATTGATAGTGGTAATATTTTTGTCTGTGATAAAGAATATTTTTCTTTCGTCTTCGTATTCCGTATTAGAAACGGTTTAAAGTTATTTTTCAGAGAATCGCCTGAAACTCAGGGCAAACACGTGTGAGATTGTAGCTTTTTCTTACTGTTATCTAACGCCCATGGCTACATTTTTTTAGTGAATCTCGTGGAAGACTACTCGAGGGCTTAAAGTTAGTAACATTCGTTTATTCCTCGTGATGTTGGTTAAATTGGTGTTCCCTACAAAAATCTAAAAATTTAGAATGTTAGCTTTATAATCAGTGACCATTAGAGGCTTGACAGGCATTTTACCATATGATTTACAATACTTAATCGTTGGGGCAAAATATCCAATTCCATGACCTTTAGTCGCTTCTCTTTTTTTGCTACTTTTTGCGACTGCGGTGGCGTAGACCTTGTGAGATCCCTATGAATCGGTGATTATATGAAAGTTATAGTTTTGGAGTTTATGAAATTTGGAGGTTATGAAACGCACTGTTTATTTAACATTTTAGACGTTGGAGTTTGTGAAATTTGGACATTATGAACCTCACCCAATTTTTCTTATCAAACTCGGTAAAAAGTAATTGGTTATGTGAGGTTTTCAGATAAAATATGATCAATTACTTATCAATTATTGGTCAAGTTTGATAAAATTCTGTGTAATATATTCATCAAACTAAATGGGTAATTAATTAATAAACTCTGATCGACGTGATATAGGCTACATGTAATTAATCAATGTAGGCAAAATCTATATTTTTCCTAATTTACAAACCTGATTTCTCTTTCAAATTTTTACAAAATTTCAAAACTGAACGCTGATTTTTTTTATATAGGTACCAACAACTCTTGTTTAATAGTTAGCTGTACTAATTATAAAACAAAACGAATTACTTAAATTATTTATTTTACAATTTGTCCAACAACAAATTTTGAAATGTTAATGCCAGGATTTACTTATATACCAATCAATCAGACTTAAGAGTCTTTAGAGCCTAGATGTTCTAACCAAAGATGTAAATAACTACATCGTTGTTTATATCGTTGGTTCTAACTCATAAAACAATTAAAGAACTACAAAGAAAATTTCTAATCTCACTAATCTAATCATTCATCTAATTATTTAAATTAAATCACTTTGGTGTTTGAAAAAATATCTTTAGATGATAAATATCTCTTCAGCAGCTGTTTGAAATTATCCAAGATGGCCGTTAGCCTCCAAGGACTCTTAAAGGTAATTGTGATCAATTGAAATTTTTCTAATTCGATAAAAACGATCTAAAAGTTAATCTTTGTCGAATGTCTAACTATTGTACTGTATATCTAACTGAATATCTAACTATATATTGTACTGACCAAGTTTCAAGTAAACTTAACCAAATTGTTAATTTTCAATAGAGGGAGGGAGCTATTATTTCCTATACACTGTTGTCCAGTGTTAAATAGTCAACACTGATCACCTAATTACCAATTAACTGTTTTTACACGTGTGTGTGTGTTGTGTATTGTTGCGGGATGCGACAGTGGACGATGCGACGACGGTGCAACACAACACAATAGTAGTCTCATATCTCATATCGAGCGCATGTTGGGAGAGTATCGACCGTCCCCACTACCACCCCCTGTCCCCGCCACCCCACCACCCCACCATCCCACTACCCTCAGATCTTACCTCACCACAACACGTCACATCTCACACGTGGGATGGCTCTAGACTGGAGGCGCCGGCTGTTCGGAGAGCGGCTGGTGCGTCCTTCCACCGACCCCTCGGACCCCCTCGAGCTCGTCCCCGTGGACGTCCTAGCCCCAGACAAACCTCTGGAGGACAACCCCGTCGTCGGAGTGTACTTCCGCGTCCTCTCCGACAGCTCCAAAGCCGAGGACTCCACCCGCAGGCTGGTAGATCTGTACTCCGCGGTACGAGGGAGGTTGGAGGTCGTCCAGGTGTTCATGCCCCCCTGGGTGGGGTTCCGCCAGGACGAAGACAACGAGAGTGTAGCCCGTCTGTTCCGACAGTCCTACCACGGCGTGCCTTGGTACACCATGCCTATAGAGGACGAGGTTAAATGGGTAAGTTGTGTTTTTGGTAAATTCTAATAAAAACTGCTAGTAAATACTATAATATCAACTTGGTTTCGTAATGAAACAAACAAGTATTGAAGGCGCAAATCGAAACTTAGATATTGTTTACAGTTACCATGTAATCTGTCTATTATTTTGTTTTTATTTGAATGGTCCTTATTCTTGTGTAACAGTCGATGACATATTTATTTTCTGTAAGCATTAGCATTAAAGTGGTTTATCTTTTTGAATATTTATTTACAGTTCTTCAATAATCACCTATACGATCAAACCAGTTATTAATAGGCTAATCTCTACATGTTGGTCCTTCGACCCGGATAAACACATAGTTGTGATAACTAATTACTAGGCAACTTAACCGATATAGACTGATTAACTAGAAGTCTAAACAGTCCTGGTGTACCAGTGAATCAGAACGTCATTCATTAAAACAATAAAATGTTTCGTAAAAATTAAATATATTGTCACTAAATTCCAACGTGACCTCAACAATGAAAACATCAACACACAAGGTTTGACAGCTGTGGTTTAGGTTATGTTCACGGTTCATACAGTTCATTGTTTATTAACGACCCACCGGGGCTGAACTAATATCCGTAACATGCTTGTGGCCCTCGATTGAACAAAGCGTTTTGTGTTTTGGTGTGCATGTGGTGGAATGGCTAGCGCTTAGTTCTGCGCCATAATGTGTTTTATCGCAGACATTCATTATCATGCAGACCATTACGTTTCACACTCAGGAGCTTAATCTTGCGTTAAATGAATAATCCTGCCTCGATTCTTAAAACTGTAGCTGCTAAGTACGTATATTTGCATGCGCGACACGGTTCCCTAATTTTTGTTGATTCTTAAGCCATTTTTTAAAATCTAAAATGATGAAATAATAACTATAATTTATTACTACTGTCGTTTTAATTGTGTATTCCAATTTTTGTATTGTAACAATGAGGTTCGCTCTCAACTATACAAAAACATTGCCTATGAACATCAGGTTTGTTTCATGTCAGCGATAAGAAAAACTGCGAGAAAAATAAAATAAAAACTACGTTAGTGGACATTTTATTAAACTCTCAATAGGTTTTAGCCAAATACTCTTATAAAGTTGAACAATTTTTTACCACGATAACTAAAATTTAAAGTTTTATTTGATTTATAACAAAAAACTGATTAAGTAGTTACTCAATATTGATGTTTGTCTTTTGTTCATTTATTTTACTTAAAAGGTTGACGTAAAAGAAACCTTTGTATGTAAATCATGTATTACATACTAAACACCTTTCAAAAAGTTGCAATGGTACAACTAAATAATCTAACACTACTCAAGTTTTACGATCAATAAAGTTTGGTACCATCACATCGTTGTGAAGTCGCATATGAACAAACCCAAGAACAATGCCAATTAAGCCAATGTAATTTTTGTTGGACATGGGCGTATGTTTATACATCCGTTACTGTTCTAATACATGTTTGACTAAAAACTCAATAAAGCAATTTAAAGTCTCTTGGACTGGGTTTTCTGATAGGAATATTTTTGGTGTACCAGGCTAGAATAAATTATTTAAACAACAGAATAATAATAACACTACTATCTTAATAGATTTTCATTATATCACTAGACACAATATTTACATTCACATGTGTTTTCATGAGGACGAAATCCAGTTGTGTCAATATTGCTAATTATGTACTCTAATGTTTGAAGGACTACAACGCCTGATGAACAATACACCCACACCCTAGCAATTCCCTCCCTCTCCTGTCGCACCCCAGGCCATTCATTACTGTCATAGATAGCGGGGGAGGTGACGGTGACTAAACCGACGCCTGATGCCGCACCGAGCTGGAAAATAAGCGAAAGGTGTTGGAAAATATCAGAAACTTTTAGAAATGTGGTGGTTTTTCATGTGTTGGAGGAAACGGTGTTTGGAAAATGTTGTACATTTAAGATATGAAACTACTTCAATTTTACAAAGTTTGTGGTTGACTCAGTTTGCAGGTATTTCTATTGAAAATTAAAGCTGTTAAAGAAGCCTTCTATTAAAGCTGCTGAAGGTACAACAAACATTCCTTCGAGGGTAAAATATATAAAATGCCATGGACATTCAAGACTTTGAACAAATTGTATGTTAGCTTATTCTAATTTGACTACGTACGCCTGAGTATTATAGCTGTTTAAACACCTTCAAAGGTTCCGTAAATAAAAATATCATAAATTTATACCATAAAAAAATTTAACTGCTATTTTTAATTTGATTACGTTCTCCATGATGCCATAGATTTTCGGATATCTCTTTTGAAAACTATTGCAGCCTAAGTGGCATGGCTAATTTTAACAACCTTCAAAGAGTACATGGAAGATGTATAAATTGAAGCCGCCCTGTTGTTACTTTAATGTAAGCTATTTATAATTTGATTACGTTCTCTGGGTTTGATTCAATTGTCAAAACATATCTTTTAAACATTATTCCAGCTCGCAGTGCTGTTCTCTACATATAAACTATACTCATTTTATACGCAAGCAGATTTTTTGTGACAATTACTCCTTCGAAACTATTGAACCGATTGTCATGTTTTTGGTGTCATTGGAAAGAGTGTAACGTGAAGTTGTGCAGGGAACTTTCTTTTTAGGGAAACAATGACAGAGTGAGGCCCTGGAGCCCTTTAAAGTTTCGTAACTCTCCATAAGATTAACATTGGAAACAAAAATTGTTGTGAAACTCCAGCTGTTGTCAGAAATCAAAAGTGAGAAGAAAAGCATATGTTAATTGTAAACAGTCAATAAGTTTGCTAATTTAACAGTATGCTACAAACATTTGCCGACTTGGTTGAAATTCGTTTTAAAATAACGCCTGTAATACGTAGCAATTGCTCGAATTCGAGCATAAGAGACACTAGTATATGTTTAAAACCCTTCCAGCTTATATTACATGGGGAATGCTGTGTATATAAATCCACTAAACACTTTTATGTTAGCTATTTATGATTTGATTGTTTTATTTGAGTATTATTTATCTTCCGGGTGATTCTTTTGGCAAAAGTTACTATTATTTCAGTCATTTAAGTATTATTGCTATTCAAAACCGTTCATAAACTTAATTTTGTCAAGGAGATTTTAATGTGTTTTTTAGCAATATGATTTTACCTCTAATTGACTGATATTACGTTAAATATTAGGTACATTTGTATCAAGTTAAGACGGCGAGTTTAAACAGTTTAGTTCCCAAAACACTATATAAATACAAATAATGTCCCACAAACCAAGTCCTTCATTAATTAGTATTTCTTGGTTTATATATTTAGGCACATAAACGTATTCGTGTCAACGATCATGATGCTAGTCTACCAGAAAGAATAGATTTTGAATTGGTAGATTTCCTTAAGTTATGCCATGCACAGTAGGCTTCCGTAAAGAAGAATCATTTAATCACATTCAATTTGACAGTGCACGGAAAATCGGCCTTATTTGTTAACTAAAATACATTTTTTAATAAAAATTTTGTTTGACTGTAGTGAACTTTTTTTATTTATCAAAACAAATACTTCAGAGAAGATATCTTTGTTGTATAAAACAACTAATCCTGGATATTTTGATAATACGTTAATGTAAAACCTATAGTGATTTAATATTGAAATACTTTAATCTTTCTTGCTTGGAAGTGTAATTGCAACATCCCATAAGTTTTGCTTAAATTTGAAAAATTACAACAATACTATTGACAATGACACACTATTATTGTGATGCTAGACTCAAGAAAGCTCCCTCAGCTTAACGATTAATTTATCTCAGACCTCAACCAAATTTGTAGAATTTTAGCACATTACTCGAAGTTCACCGTGATAAACAGTAAGCATATACAGGAAGTGTAGAGGTGTTCTTTACCATCCCAATACAGCACTTTCTTTATGTTCCCAGAGCCCAGAAGCTCAGACGGTTGCCAGCTGCCAGGTGAGCAGTGTTTACAAACAAACTAGGCTGGTCTAGCGTCTGTTCCGCCCTACTATCTCTCCTTTCTGATTAGGGGGAAATGAGTGCGTGGTTTTATAACGAAATCGTTCGAATAAATGTTGATTTCCACGTGTATATGTTACACTCAAACTCCGAATTCGGACAATGTCCGACATTTTTACCCACTTCGCGATGTGGACAGTGTGAAATACCCACGTCGCGGAGTATTTTATTCGGACATTGGCCGAAGTGAAATGCCCAGACCGCGTTGTGGGTAAACTAGTTTACTCAAATGCCGATGTCAAAACGTTCTCCGGCGATTTAGTAAATCTAAAATACCCACAACGCGATGTGAGCAAAAGTGATTGCCCACGTCGGGTTGTGGATATTTCAAGTTTGCGCAAACGCCGAATAGAATAGCCTGTATAAACTACCGCATACACAAATATCGACATGAAATCTACAATCACCAGGTAAAATCTAATTTAATAACGTTTAAAATTATATTTATTTAATGTACGAGTATAAATAAAGTTTTAGAAATTTACAGGTAAACAGCAAACTACCGTATAGGAAATTTTTTTTAAATGCCCGTAACAAATACATATTACAGTAATTGAAATAATGTTTTTCGCAACCTTAAAACGGCGACCATTACGAAGTAGGCCTACTTGATACATTTGTATTTTACTTGTTGGCTCAGTATGTGCTGCAATGTCATATATAACTGCATTTTATATATAACCCGTACATAATGTACAAAATGTACGTGAGTACAGTTCCTCATGCAAACCACACTTTGCTTGGATCCGGATGGCATCATGCTTCTATGCGTACGTTTACTTGCTCATCATGTCCATCCACGTAGAAAATCATTTTATTTGGCGTCATATGGAATTGGTTTCTTGAGATATATTTGTCCAGAACTCCATGTTTTGTACCAAGAGTCCCCGGTCAACATCAGGAATGCTGACCATCGCGTTGTCTCCGGCTAAAACTGGAATTAATTTTCTTTCCGTTTTCTGGAAATTTTTTGTGTCTGGATTTTTAAGGGAGATACACAGTTTTCCCATGTTATATCAATTGCAGATTTTCTTGAGCAAAGAGTGCAAAAGGTATGCTAACTGCTTTCTATTTATGTCTTCGTTATGGATGTCCTGTGAGAACGAGAATTCGGCGTTTGCGCAAACTAGAAATATCCACAACCCGACGTGGGCACTTACTTTTGTTCACATCGCAATGTGGGTATTTTGGATTTACTCAATCGCCGAAGAACGTTTAAACTTCGGCATTTGAGTAAATCAGTTTACCCACAACGCGGTCTGGGTATTTCACACTGTCCACATCGCGAAGTGGGTAAAGATTTCGCACATTGTTCGAATTCGGAGTTTGAGTGTAACATATACAACATTTTATTGAAATCGGATAGTTTTTGCTCGAGTTATTGTGCTAACGGATGTTTCCTATATATAATATATATGAATTTGAACGGATGGTGTTTTTGGCCTCTGGGGACCTCAAAATGAAAAAGTAAATCGGTCCCGGATCTAGGTCTTACCATTAGACCTACGGTACCGGTAATAGCTTATTCCACATGGGTAATTCACTAAAAACGCCATAAATAAAAAGATGTACTACTAAATAATATATGAAAGTGGAAAATATAGTAATAAATTTAATATAATGGATACACAAAAGCGGGGTATAGTATATCCAATGTGAAATCAGAAATCACATATTTATGTGAAATTAGGCTGTGTGAAGTTGATAGTGAATGTACGCCACAGCCGCTAGGGAACTTAAAGCTGTCAGCATTTTGGCTGTTACATAGCCTATAGGATAGAAACAGATAATTATAATAAAATTTATTTAACACAAACTAAAAATCGCTAACATAGCTGTATTATGCACCACTTATTGTCATAATAAACATATTTGAACTAATTTTATTCATAAATCAGAATTTAATTGGCGCTGGTATGACTGTTATAATTTAATGCACCTTGACAAAAATTCATTCTTTCGAATCCGCAGAGAGTTGTCTTGATTAAAAGTGCATCTTAGAATAGAAAACAACTGCAAATAATAATGACTAACCTAGCTCCCGCTCGGAGTTCATTGTTTATACATTCTTTTGTACAAATGATGCTCGTCTCTTTCAATTGCATTATTGTATTTTAAAACAATCTGAAATTGACTATCTCAATGCACTGCAGTCTCAATTACAGCATATTTATGATTCTTATTCTATTGATTGTACCAATATGTTATAATTTTGCTTATTATGATCAACTTTTGGCAATCGTATGATTCCAAATGCCGCAATTCAGCCAGATTTGCTACCCAATTTTTTTCGTTTGACCTAATGATATGCATGTCGATAGAATTTGGATTTAAGAAAAAAATAGTTTGCGAAATTTCTATTTTGTTTTATAGTAGGCTACATAGCCTACATTACCGATGTTCAAATTATTTCTTCTTTTACCCTAGGTTAGTTTTGGACCAGGAACCCTGAGGACAGGATTTTCGTCTCTTTGAATGATTTTCACGGATCATTTTTTATGAATTATAAAGCATAAACATAAAATATGTATAAGTAAATAAAACCTTAAAAGGTAATATAACTAATTTTCTAGCTCTCGCCAAGGAACGAAAGTAACTTTTTTGTAGTCTCGAAGTTGTGTTTAATTTTCTACGTAGTCGGATAGCTTTAGAAATGATTGAGCTTGCAAGACGCTTCAGCTCGTGAAGTGAACGCTGTTTCCATCACGATAAAAAAAGAAAATGTGTTAAAATGGAAAAGATGATAATCTTATGACAGAAAATAGATGTTAACACAGTTAACCAAAACATTAGATCGAACGTCATTAGTACAATGTATTGAAATAAAGTTTATGGTTGTTAGGTAACGACATAACGACAACAATGCGGATGATGAAGTTACCACAAATGTGGATGGAACCTGTTAAATAGTGTTGTGTTAAAGAAAAATGTTACCTAAATAAATGAACATGTGATCCAGAACCAGCATCCAAGTAGCAATTTTCGGCAGCAGCTTGCAAAATGTCAAGCCAACATACCATAGAGAATAAGCTATTACCATAGGATTCATGGTCAGACCTAGACCCGGGACCACTTTTATTTTTCGTTTTGGTGTCCTCAGAGGTAAAAAGACAACTCATTTTAAAGGCCATCAGCCAAAAAGAATATTGGCATAAATTAGAGGTCTCTATCTTAACTCATTACATAATGGGGGCCATTTTTATTTTTCATCAGCATGAGAAACAAAACATCATTTAAAAATATACATCAATAAAATTTATTTATTTCATACCAAGCTATTGAATTTTGCTAAAAAACATCTAATGTTATATAAATAGGGAATACATCTTAAATGATTAAGGTAATGTTTTAGTGAAAATCTGATCCACAAACAGCTGATAACATGCATAATCAGTAACAGTGAAAATTATGTTTAAACACATTTATTTTCAGTTCCTGGGCATTAACTCCCGTTGCAGCAAACTTGTATACCTTACAACTATGCATTTGTTTTTCTGTGTCAAAAACATAACTTAATTTCCCGACAACCTGGAAAATATGATATAACATATCTTCACAAAAAATAAACTAAGAATGACAATTTTTTGGAAGCTGAAAATCCTTTTCCTCTAACCATTCCTAAGTTGCACTTAAACATCCCTTTCACTCAAGAGTAGGGGAGCAAGGAAATAGGGTCTAAAGAAGTTGTTGGCACTAACATTTTCGCTGGAAGAGAATTGTCAATGAGTCATAGTGTTTGCAATCATGTATATTAATACCGCTGCAATCCCCTATTATCTATTGACAATTATCATCCTGGTACAACTAACTAAAAGCAGTAAAACAGTACCTATGCAACGTCAGTACTGATTCAATTGGAATTCCTATCTTTAAAATTGTGTTATTAAACAAAATTTTCTTGAAGAAGAAATGGAACTCCATTCCACAGTGTCCTGCAAATTTGGGCATAGCAAAAATCAGTTAACAAAACTATTATCAACCAATTACTCATCAGCATTTGATTGGAGTGAGACGATAAATGTACAGTACAATATTTAAATGAACTGATTGTTTGGTTGTATTGTTGGCAGGTGAGACTGAAGCACAGATGTAGGGGCAAGGTGGGCATGCTGGTGTTGCTGTGTGCCCACACGGGCAAGGTGCTGGTGAGGGACGCTAGCTACCACCTCAATGATGACCCCACGGGCAGCTGCTTCCCTTGGATACCTCGTCCTGCTCACATACTCATGAGTGAAGCTGCCCAGAAGGGCTTGATTGCCGGAGGACTCAGGAAAGGTAATGTTCATTCTATGTATAAGAACCACTCTCATATCAGGACTTGTTCATTATCAGAAGAATTCAAAATAAGGGTCAGATGAACAATCTAATTTACAGCGAGGTACATATGACTTCTGTCCTTAAATTGAGGTCTTCATCAAACTCAGATCCAAGCCATAAGCAAGCTTGAGACCAATGTGTTCTTCATTTCAAACACTACTGTTGTAGCCCGTTCTCACCCTTATGTGATGATTAGTCTTGTCGTAGTAGCTGAAAACGACATGAAGAAAAACTACTGTACATACGAGTGAGCCATGTGCAAAATACGAGAAGCGGAAGCACAGTAAACTTGTAAGTTTGTGTAGTAACAGAGGTGCCCTCCCCCCCAAGGTCAGACGGGCAAAGCCATCCCCCATCCCCCCATTTCATACTTCCCCTTTAATTACCCCCCCCCCCTCAAAAGTTTTATAAGGAACATTTGTTTTCCAATTCAAAAATTATGAGGAGGATGAAATAGTCACGATTTATAGTTGGGTAGTTTTGAAATCATGAAATACAAAGAACTTAAAAAATGGCCATGCTCATTATTGAGAATTGGGGACGGTCTCTTCACCAAACCCAGACAAAATAAAAAGCCGAATGGACAAATGCAAGACAAGGTAGACTATACCGAAATGAAGAATATAGAACTTCTTCTATCCCGGTCCCTCTCCTAGAATGTGGTTTTCTGTCTGCCTGAATCATAAAATAATCAATAGAATAATCCATGACGGCGAAAATGTCTTGACATTCGACCGCGGTTACAAAAAGACATCTTCATCCGAAGACATACCTTTCGTGATCGTGGCAATATCTTGATATCCCTCAGTGGTCGCAAACACATCATTATCGCCACCCCAGAACTAGACTATCTTTCAATATCTTGTGAGCTTTGACCTTGACTGGGGTCTGACATGAAGACTACACTAGCTAGTTCATAAAGTATGTTTTATAAAAAAAATACGGCAGACTATATACCAATAACTACTTCCAGTAACCATTGTATTAAAATTTGATTGTTTGAGCTGACACACTCTTCTGTTATTGTATATTTAAAAAGAAAAGTAACACTGTATTAAAAATTGTCTTTGAAAAATCGTGAACAATGAATTGTTTTCTTCAGGGGCGTTTCAAGGGGATAATAGAAAGGGTATCTCAACAGCTCCACCAGCAAGGATTGGTGTTAGAGTGGGTTTCAGTTGAAGTAAGCTTTTACTGAAGTGCTTTTATCACAAAACAGTGGTAGCCAACACTATTAAATTGTATTGTTCTCGTTTAAATCTAAAATAAGTGTCAAACTTAACATTATTAATAAAGATCACTTTTCACATCTGAATAGAATTTTTCCAAGTCTATGTAAAAAGCAGTAATTATTAAAATGGTGAAAAATAATTTGGTGGCCACCATTTTAATAATAGATACAACCCTTTTTTTAATAAGTTAAGGTACCTAAACGTCTTTTGTAGGTGATTTCTTAATTTATTTTCATTGATCGGAAATTACTTTTGAGGAAGAGAATTCAATTGAGGTGTGGTTTTCAAATTGTACAGAACCAAATCACATATTATTCCACAAATTTTTAAACTCATACAGACTCTCTCATACTCTCTTTGGGGAAAAGATTCACTTGAAAGTTAATCAAATTCAGAAAAAATTTTCTAGTTATATTTTAAATTGTTTTTTTTTTTTACTTACATTCTAAAAATGACTCATTTTCCATGTAGGAGAATTGTAGAAAATTGTGCCATAGTTACAATTTCCTTTGTTTAAGGCATGTTTTTCAAACAATTCAAGGCCATTAAACTATATAATTAAGAATGTTCATAATGTTTTAGGACCCAAAATAATCCCCTACAGTACATTGGATGGTTTCATCAAGGGGCTGTATTTCTCAGCACATTGGGTGAGTAAATATCAAATGAGAAGCATTTGATAACATAATCTACATCAAAGTTAAAATACATTAATTTAATTCAGATGCCTGGATAGCCGATAGGCTGTAGTGCTCCCCTTAAAGGTAAATAAAAAATATAAAAAATTGATATTTTCTCCTCTTGAACTCCTCTTTAACAAATCGTGTTTTTGGTCTCTATGTACATTAAAATTAAAAAGAAAATTGGTCATGGGTCTATGTCTTACTGTCCCAATAATAGTTATAGCTACTTTCCTATATGGAAATTAGCTAAAAAAGCCATTGGTATCCAACAGTGTTGTACTCATTACATTTAAAATTTCCTGCTATTGTAAAGGGTGAATTACTTAAGTTAAGTTTTATACTTAATAATGTTTTACATGATACTCTGTGCAGATTATGTAATTGATCTTTTAATATATAAGTGGTTTGCATGTTGCAGTGTCCTCCGTGTAAGGCTTTCACACCTCAACTCATCGAGTGTTATCGCAAAATCAAAGCTCGAGGACACAAGTTTGAAGTGATATTCATCAGTTCAGACAGGTTTGAAACTTTAGTGTCTTTACTTTCAGCTGTCAACTTTGTCAGCATTTAGAAAATAAACTCTTTAGAAATTTTTTGTAAATATGTATCAAGGAGGGGGAATAGAATCATAAAATAAATAATTTGCTGGTATAGTTTTGATTGCAAATATGAAAATTATATTTATAAAGAGCTGTACCTCTAGTGGAAGTTAAACCCTCCCCCACACAACTTCTTCTTTGACAAGATTTTATAAACCATATGACTTATATCCTTTTGTCCAACACTTAAAAATAAATATGAGAACTCATATATTTTTTTATAAATACTGCACTAGTTATTTATAGCTTTTTAGAATAGTTTGTTGAACTTAATGTAAGTTTATTGATATCCCGAAACAGTCAAAGGTAAACTGTCTGATAAATATACAGGGTGTCCTACGTAAGGTGTCTCAAATTGATTACAGAAAAACGGCTTAACGTACAAGAATAAAGTAAAATAATTTCCAGCTAAATCGACCCCAAGGAATAACGTAAAAACATTTTTAATCTTTTTACTATTCAGAGTGTGCAAAAAACTGAGGGTCACTAGTTTGAATCTCGGAATTTTCAAAAGTAAGCATATGTTATGTTATGCATCATTTTAAAGGCATTTAATAGGTATTTAATTTGGCGAAAACAGATATTAATTATCTTTTTCCGTTTTACAATGGCGGCTATTTTTTTTAGGAAAAATTAATATGTTTTTAATACTCTGTGTTTCCCTCCCATACCAATGCACTTAGCCCTTCTCCGGTTGAATTTTCTTACTCTTAATAAAAATGAGCTTTACTGTGATATGCTACAAGTAACGGTTTTTTAAAATAATAAAAATCCCAGAAAAATTTATTTAAAAAATTTGCAAATGCCCATTTTTCAAAATTTTCAAATAACAACATGTTAAATGGCATATCATTTTATAGAATTTTAAATTTTTAACAACTTTATAATTTACACTTACTTCTTATCTATTTTAGTTTTTGTGTAAATAACAAAAAACCTAATTTTCCTATATCAAATGCATGTTATTTGGGTTTAACACTAATGGCCCCATTTCATTTAGTGTCAAACCCAAAATTTCTGTTTTCACCAACAAGTTTATCTATTAAAATACCTTTAAAACGGTGTATAACAGGACCTATGCTTACATTTGAAAATTCCAAGATTCGAAATAGTGACCCTCAGTTTTTGACACACCCTGTATCGGAAAAAAGCTAAACATATTTTTACGTTATTCCCTGGAGTCGATTTAGCAGGAAATAATTTTATTTCATCCTTGTACCTTAACCCGTTTTCCATAATCAATTTGAGACACCTTTTTTTTTTTTTTGGGGGGGGGGGGGGTTGGGGTATTGCCTACCCCTAGCTACTTCGGCCAGAGACACCTTATGTGGAACACCCTGTATAATGTAATGTAAGTTTCTTCAAATTTCACCTATATTCCTGAAAACCAAAAAAAAAAAAATAATATTTTAAATTCATATAGTTTCTAGTCATGCATTTACGTCCAGTAATAAATTCTAAATAAGTCAATTAAATTATAACATATTGGAATAACTTTTGGTTTGCATTTTTTTATTTTAGGAGTGAAGAATCTTTTGAGAGCTATCTCTCCACGATGCCTTGGACAGCTTTGCCTTATAAGAGCTCTTACTGCAAGGAGCTTGCCTCAAACCTAGATGTCCATGGTATACCCACTCTGATCCTCCTGGACCCTGATGGAACCATTATCACTGAGGAAGGCAGGAGTGAAGTCAAGGAGGACCTTGATGGAGAGGTAACATTCTAGAAAATTATGGTATGATTCCTGAGTGTCATGGAGATTTCAATAAGTAGATGGAATTCACACAAACTTTCAATTTTGATATTTTTAGTCAAGTGGGTTTATAAGTAGGGTGAGCACCATTTGCTTGACAAAGCACTTTGTTATCAGACCACATGACTGTCTTTTTAACATAGGGTGATTCAGAACTCCCTACCAATATTTTTGGGCATTGTTCCCGGGTAAGAATCATATCTAAATATCATACTGTATTTAAATTGTCCGTGAGTTACTTAGTTACTCACATAGCCGCCATTTTTTTTTCACTTATCAATTTTTTTCTATACATAATGGTTAAATGTAGGAAGTTGAAACTTTGCACAAACTTTATGACAACCAGACAAAGCTACAGAAAAGTTAGGACAAAATTTAAAATTCATAAAACAAAATGGTGGCCATTTAAATTTTTGTTTCTTAAATTACTTAAAACCCGTTCATTTTACAAAAGTTTTACAAGCATAACTTCTTTTAGGCAATTTAATAAAAAATCGATTGACACCCTATTTCTTAATCTGAGATATGGCAGCTTTAGTGATACATGACCGCTGGAGGTTAGTTGCAGTGCATGCCAAGGCATACGGCTAAAGTCTGCCCCAACAATACAACAATCACCGTCCTTTGCAAGTTATTTTTAAACTATGAGTTTATTCAATGTAGTCAGTTCCTCTAGCCTTTTACACTCACTTTTAAAGTGTACACTCAGTATAAAATGTTAGAGGAACTGACTACAATGAATAAACAATAACATCTTCAGACAACAAATAAATCAGCTGATTAGTTTGTAAACAAGTGTTGACTTTCACCACAGCTGATATAAAAGGTTTGGGTGTTTTGTGTGAATTTTTAAGACAGTAAAAATTTGTGCAATTTTTAAGCCATCCTAATGATAATTAATTGATAAAAAATACAGTTTTGGGGCTATGTAATATTTTATTATTGTTTAAAGTTATCTAAAATCACTTAAAAATAACTTGCAAAGAGGACGGTGATTGTTGTTTTGTTGGGGCAGACTTCAGCAGAGTGCCTGGCATGCACTGCAACTAACCTCCAGTGGTCATATATCACTAAAGCTGCCAAATCTCAGTTAATATTCGTCCAATATTAATAAATAAGGTGTCAATCGATTTTTTATTGAATTGCCTAAAAGAAGTTATTCTTGTAAATGTTTCGTAAAATCAACAGTTTTTAAGTAATTTAAGAAACAAAAATTTTAATGGCCGCCATTTTGTTTTATACATTTTAAATTTTGTCCTAATTTTTCTGCAGCTTTGTCTAGTTGTCATGATTGTTTGTGCAAAGTTTCAATTTCCTACGTTTAACCATTATGTAGGAAAAAATTTATAATGGAAAAAAAATAAAAAAAATGGCGGCTGTGTGAGTAACTAAGGACTTCCAGACAATTTAAATATGATATTTAGATATGATTCTTACCCGGGAACAATGCCCTTAAATATTGGTAGGAAGTTCTGAAACACCCTGTATATTTCTATATAGATAAATAAATATGTATATCTGGCCTCTTTTATGCACGGCGTTTTCCGTCGGGCGGAATCTATCAGGCTTTCCGTCAGTGAGTGTTTTAACATGGGTTCAAATGGGACCCTTTTATGCACGACGGAATCTCCGTCGCGTTTCAGCGTTCCGTCGGAGGCCGACAGAGGACTTAGACTCCGCCGAGTTTTGGCGTTTCGTCGGAGCAGGTTTCAAATATATATTCAAATGTTATAGGTTAAAATGGAACCCTTTTATGCAACTGCATTTTCCGCCGGGCGGAATGTAGTGCTCCCAACCTACCCCACGCTCTGTCATCCACAGTATTGAAATTGCCTAATCATTGTAAATAGATTATCATTATTCATTGTAATTGGTTGAAGAGTACAAATAAAGAGATGTACCGGTAATTGGGAAAAATGTACTGGGCAAAAAAATTTTTTTTGTTTAAATTGGCGGAATAATACAGTCTTACTGTTTCGTAGGAATAATAAAACTATTGTATTCCCGGGACTGACATGGGGCTTTTTGTATCAAAGGTATCACCCGGGATTGATATGGGAATTTTTTTACTAATGGCCAGCCCTACGAATTTCATTCACTGGGTGTACAGCCCACAACTAAAAAAAAACAGCGGATTCCGCTCGGCTGAGAAACTGCATAAAAGGGACATTGATTCCGCCCGACCGAAAACGTCGTGCATAAAAGAGGCCTCTTGTATACATCTAAATGTCCACATTATGTTCCTTGATCATCAGTTAGTTTTCTACATGTTTGGCAACAGCACAGACAACATGGTGCAATGATCACAACATTGATGTTTTAAGTAATTAACATGCCTTGCAGAGAATACCTTAGTGAAATGTGAACATGAAAGAGAGTTTAGGAACAAGATTTGTTGGGGAAGGGTGTTTTTAAAAGAATGGCGGGATTTCAAACGGTCATTGCTCGGGGACTAATCAATATAATTAAACGTCAAATTGAAGGGAAAAGAATAAAGTTTTTTTCTCATTCTTTGATACAATTCGTAATGATTTAATAAAATTCAGATTTTCATCAATCTTACATGAGCGTAAAACTGGCAAAGTCTGTACGCTTAGGGCGATCGGTGGGTATATCTGATGTCTTAACTGAATATTTTTCGGCACAAAGCCTCTATCCTATATAGATAACATCATAAAGTGGCCAATTTAGGTTCGTTCAACTTGATTTTTTCGGACTTCTGTTGCAGCATTGTCGGGATTTTTTTGACTATGTAATCACTTGTTTTTAGCCGGCCAGGTGAATGTCTTTTCAAAACACTTCGGTGCCACAAAACTCATTAAACCAGCTTCAAGTTTCTTTATCATCAAGTAGATTTAAATTAAGTTAAATTTAGCAATGGATATAAACTCTGTGAATTACAGATTACAATCTGTACCTTCTGTTGCGCCGTAAACGTCGTACTGGTCAGCGTCAGGCGTATGAGTCACAATAGTGGCCTACCACCGCGCACCTGTTTTGCGCATGCCAGGGTCAAAGTTATCTCCCTTGCTACTCAGGAAACAAAACTTAGTTATTTTAGCTTCAATTTGGCGTATAAAACGTTTAGTTACTTTGAATAGTACCCAAACAATTACCATTTAAAATCCCGGCATTCTTTTAAAAACACCCTCTATAATGAGCGCACAGACCTAAGTCACTGCAATACATGATACCATTGAGTATACACATATAAGAGGGGACTGATAAAGCTAATAATTGTTACCGATTTTGGCAACGTAGCTTGGGTCGGGGTAGTCAGTCAGTAGTGCAGTGTACCTTTGAACACCCTTAAATCATAGTACAGTTGAACCTCGTTTGTACGAACCTCGATAAAACGAATTCCTCGATAAGACAAATTTTTTTTAAAGCCCTTGACACTTTCATATAGGTCAATGCTAAAAACACCTCTATACAACGTAGTAATTAAGTTAAAAACCTCCATAAGACGAATTTGTTTGTGACATGGGCTATGACTGATTAACCTCTATACAACGAATATTCTTAGCACAAAACCTCTACAAGACGAACGTGACCTCTATAAGACGAATTTATCATAATCTTAACCTCCATAGTACGTAGTTTTCAAAACAAACAGAAGCTTGTCTCAACATGAAACCCCCACCCATCCCTCCTCCTTCCTCAGTCATTGTTTGGAGAAACCTTGGAGCGAGGAGAAACCTCTATAAGAAGAATAACAGCAGCATTAAACCTCGATAAAACGACCCTCTTTATTAAGAATACCTCTATAGTACGAATTTTTCCCGTACCCCTTGAAATTCGTCTTATAGAGGTTCAACTGTATTAAAAATGTGTCATAAAACAACAAAATTATGACCAAACAAATAAATTTCATCAACAAAACAACATTTTACAACCTACAACAAACACAATAAAAAAAAACAACTTAACTGCGACATGACCGAAGTCGTGTAGTTCAGGCCGCTGACTCTACTCTTCAACAGCGCTGTTCAGGTAACGGTAGCCTCCATTGAGTGTCTAATCGAGTATGTTTGTACTCATAGTTGATACTTAAGTATCAGTAGGTCTCTGTTTGGTTGTTTTTTCTCTGGTACTACAAATACAGGAATGAGTATTGTAAAACCTCAAGTTTCTTTTATTTGCAGTGTTTCCCATGGAGGCAGAGGCCAGTTAACATTCTGACAGACAGGCTAGCAGAGCTCCTGTATGATTCTCCTGCAGTTGTGCTGTTTGTAGGTTGGTTAAACTAGTTGTAATTTCGCTCTACATACTACAAGCATTATTCGATATAATAGTATTAATAGTAGTCTGTAAATTAAGTTCTCCATCGAGCTCTCATGGCCAAACAAGGCAACGCTGTGTTTTTTTTACTTCATTGCTACAATTCTAGTCACTTTCCATTGCTATGTGACTATTAGCTTTGACTATGGTGAGAACTAGACATTCCATCTTCATGTTAAAGTTATCACTAGTTTTTAAAATAAAATATATATTATTATTATTATAGGATATTACCACCCACATAAAACTCAAATTTGAACATTTTTACTTAAACAACACTTCCTTTACATGGAGAGAAAATATATCTCTTTTTATAGGGAGAGAAAGTAAAAATCTGTGATTGGCTCATTACACTGATGCTGGTCCATAGAGATGGTATATGTCTACTTCAGTATACAAAAGTCAATGCTATTCCGACACACAATTTTTACACCACCTAGTAGCCAAAAATGATGTTTCAGAAAATTTACGCTTCTGCTAAGTATAGATCTCCTTCTGTGATTAGGTTTGTGTGAGTAGGGATTTAATCCCTCTTGAAATGTTACCAGTTAACATATGTGTATGCAGGAAAGTGTTTTGAATTAAGAAATGTGCATAAGTGGCTTATGGAGTTCACAGAAGGCTTACATTTGAACAATGAGGTCGGTAGGACTTCCATTGCGACAGTGCCTAAAGCTGAACAAATTTTACTTGACGATCGCTGAGTTTAAGACTATTAGGGTTTACCAGAGTCCTGGATAGTTTTACAGAGCTGTCCCTATTAGTTAGACAACCCCTCATTCAGTCACACCGAGATCAACGTTAAAACCAAGATCCCTCTATTCTCAATCAAGACTGATGAAAGACCTCAGGCGGTATACACCATGCAAAACCTGATAAACAATGTGCAAATGCTTAAGACCACCTCCAACTCCAAACTCCTTCTTCCCTTGTCGCTCGTTCTATGTCCATACTCTTCGACTTATCTCAATTTGATTCCATCCAAAGTGATGGACTAGTCGCCTTAGCCCACCAAAATTTAATCACAGAAGGCGATTCCTACTCTGCAGGAGCTTAGATATTTCTTCACATCGTTTCTGACTGCTATCACATTACTAATTGTAACGTAGGGGTGGAAATTGGCTAGAATTGCATTTGATAAAGTAAAGAACCCAGTGTTGGTCTCAGATTTGAACTAGCTTGCTTGACTGCTATAGGAACTCGATAGAGAACTTATTTTATGGATACTCCTCGCCGTGGTACATAAAAGAATAAGAGGTATTACTACAAAAAAAACTTCTAAAGCACTTCAGTGAAATCTTAAATTAATGCTTTTACTAAAGGTTGCGATTAAAAAATGTTATTTGTTTAAAGTACCATACATAAAATCTAAATTATAACTTTGTGCGTATGGTTTTGTTAGGAGATATATGGAAAAGTTATTTATTAAAGGCCAACCTCAATGATTGCAGAGAATCAGTTTTATTTAACCTCATCCAGTCCCATCCTGTCTGAATGTTTTTTAAGACCTTGTCTCGAGATGCAAAGGTTACACGATTACAACTGAGAAACGTTTCTATGCTTTTGGATCTAGTTTTCATTTGTCATTGTGAGTTCACATCTATTTGGAGTGATTTAGAGCAACATCATGACCTAAGAAAGTTTCCAAATATATCAACTCAAATGATTGTCTTAGTTGAGAAAAGTAATATTTTTCCAACGCAAAACTTTGAAACTAAATGTAAAATTTAGCTAAGTAGTTAAACAAAAAATAATAGATTCCACTTCACATACAGTACTTTTACTTTTTTTTACTAGAGAGAATGGTTATGGCACTCTCTATCAAAAACCTTAACAACTCTTTATACCGTTATCATAGTTATAATTTACATACTATTAGAAAATTAAATAATAAATAATCTTAAACAGTATAAACTGAAAAACAAGGCTGCGTTTACTGGTGGGTCCCGGCCCAATTGCTGGCTGGTGGGGTGGAAGAGGATTTAGGTTTGTTGGGGCCACAAGGTTGAGAAAAATTCCCCATGAGGAAAAGGGGGAGGAGCCACAATCACCTCTTGGGCTTATAGCAAATGCCTACTTAAAAAACCCTGGCTCTTTCAGATGGAGACGAAGATGAAGACTTAGAATTCGGAGAAGCTGTTTTGCTACCAGTTGCAGAGTGGATTGCTTCTCGGTCTCTTCATCTCGACTACGAATTACTCTTCTTTGTTGCTGTTGAGGTTTGTAAGAAGATGTCTAAAATCAAACGTTAAATAGACGTTCCATCTTGCATAATAAAGAATGTTGTCTTTAGGCTGTACAAATAGATATATTTTTTGATACACAAATCAGCACCAGTAAAGATACTTACTGTTCAGCAGTCAAGTCACTGAATTCAGGAGGGTAGTAGAATTATAATAGGGATAGGTTATTGTTATTTTAAAGTCATGTTTATTGTTTTATGTTTATTTGTTTATTGTGAGTAATGATAACATGTTTATTAATGAAGGATCATCTAATCAAAATGAAGTTAAGTTACAAGTCTTCACAAAAGCTTAATAACATCTCAAATGTATAACATTACTATGCGTTTTACTATAAACAGGTTAGTTGTAACTTTTTAGCAAACATTTACCCACCTAACTGAGCTTATGTCCATGTGAACAAGCAAAACAAGAGGTAAACCAATACAGTACTTTTATGAGGGTATAGTTTACCTTTTACCAATAAAATGTTCATGTTGTCAATGTTGTCATCAAAGGCAAGCTGTCTTTCAATAAGCAGACCCAAGCTTTCTAACGCCAAAGCTTCCTAGGTTGTTGAAGCCCGGGACCGACCACGCTCAATGTCGGTAGTCTGCTTCCAGCTAACCACGCTTGCTGATGTCTTTTTTTCAATCCATTCCGTTTTATTCGAGTCAAGGGTACTTCCGAGCCTGTTTTTATGAAATGGAAAAGGTCGCAAGCTCGAACTGTCTGTATTGTCCTAGCACAGCAGAAACGGTCAAGCATACGTTCTGTCAGTGTGACAGGTGCCTCACCCATTGAGTCTCCATTTATGCACAGATCAGTGTCATCATCATCTCAGTGATTTCTGCATATGCGCCCGCTGAGGATGCAAGTGATGACCACAAGGACAGTTTTTATGATCAGTTAAGCAACACATGTAAGAAAATTGCCAAGAAAATTTATGACATGTGTACCGTTGTAGGCAATTTTAATGCCAAATTGGCAAGGAGGATTTCCTGAAAGGAATTGCTGGTATACACTCCTTGCATAATGAAACTAGTGAAAACGGAAGGCTGACCCAGTTTGCCGCAGGACATGGCCTCGTAGTAATGAGTACCTCCTTTGCGAACAAAGATATCCACAAAGGTAAATGGAAAATGCCAGGCAGGAATTTTGTGAACCAGATAGATCATCTTCTTGTGAGCAAGCGACATGCAACTTCGTATTTACAATCATGGTTGTGAGAGCCTGTAGGGGACCTACTTGTGACCCTGATCACTTTCTGGATAAAGCTTTAGTGAAGGAGAAAATCTCTTTAGTAGCAAATGGCCCTGGAGTGAAAAAGAAAAGGTGGAATTGTGATCTGCTTAAGGACAATGTCAGAGAGTGAGATTACCAGCAGGCTATTCATGAAAATGTGATATTACAAGATGCAATTAATGGAAATATAGAAGCATGGAAATCGATCAAGAAAGTTATACACAAAGCTGCTGAGAGTACTATAGGTGAAAAAAGATTACAAAGAAACGCAGAATGGTTCGACAATGAGTGTATGGATGCAATCATGCGGAAGAATGAAAAGAGACAAAGAATGTTGCAAAGGCCAACAAGACAGACTACTGATGAATATAAAAAAAACCGAAGAACAGCCAATATAATACTTAGAAAGAAAAAGAAACAATACATCAAGGCCCAGATAAAGGAAATCCAGCATTTAGATGACCAAAATGAAACAAGGAAAGGTTATACTGCAATCAAACGTATGACTTAAGGTTTTCAGCCGCGAGTCAATGCTTGCAAAGACAAGGATTGAAATTTTATAGAGGAAGCATCCACAGTCCTTGACAGATGGGCTGAACACTTTAGAGAACTTTTAAATGGAAACAATACCGGAGAAGACCGAGTGCCAGACTGGCAGCCAAAATATCAAACCGCTGACTCTTAGGTTGAAGAGACCTCTTTGGAAGAGGTCGAGGTATGTAGGTATTAAGAAGCAGAAGAACCACAGAGCGCCAGGTGAGGATGAGATTAATGCTGTACTTTGGAAGCACGGAGGTCATGAATTGGCGTTCTGTTTACACAGACTTATATTAATGATATGGAGACAGGAATCTCTTCCCAGCAACTGGAACAATGGAGTATACTCCTGTATACAAAAAGGGTGACAAAGTAGTATGCAGCGACTATCGTGGTATCACTTTGTTGGATGTAGCGTACAATATATCCTTTGCTACTTTCGTCATGCGACTTAGCCCCTTCACAGAGAATGTACTCGGGGAGTACCAATGTGGGTTTCGGCCAGGAAGAGGAACTATTGATCAAATATTTAACATACACGTTTTTTTTATGGCTATGAAATAGACTTATGAATACGGATTTTATTTGCACATGTTGTTCATTGACTTTAAACAGGCATTAGTCAGTATAGACAGGAGAAAACTACTTGATGCCCTCGAACGTTATGGGAAGCTGGTGCGGCTCACAAAAGTTACACTAGAACACACTTATAGTTTAGTAGCTGTAGGTGGAAAACAAAGTAAAACATTCAGGATTTCAAGAGGTGTCAGGCAGGGTGATGCACTATCAGCTATGCTTTTTAATTTGGCCTTGCATAGTGCTATGTGTAGACTAGACCTGAGAGGATCATCAATCCTAGGATGATTCAAGCGCATGCCTATGCTGATGACATACCTAGTGCGTGTTGCTAGACACCCTGAAGACCTAAAAGAAATGTTTCGGACTATTGAAGAGGAGGCTAATCGTATGGGTCTGGAAATAAATGAGCAAAAGACACACTACATGAAAATTTCTGACCTGGAAGCTAGAAGGAGAATCCATAACTTGGATGTTGTTTGTTTTTGTTTTTTTAGGCATGAGCCCGGAATTGTTTTTCACATTAATTCAGGCTAGACCTAGGGGTTGCAGCATTATCTCTTAGATAAAATCCATTGATGAGTTGGCAGGATTTAAATCCAGGACCGCAGGGGCTCCTCTGTAACTTGGATGTAGGCAACTATTGTTTTAAGGATGTGGATGGGTTTGTTTACCTTGGGGCAGAGGCTGAATTGCAACAACACTGTTGTGCAAGAAATCACAAACCAAATCATGGCTGGTAGAGCATATGATGCTAACCTTGGGATCTTCAAATCCAAGCTGATGACCTACAAGACAAAGATGAAGCTGTACAAGATTCTCATTATAGGCCTGTTGTTACGTATGGTGCAGAAACCTGGTCCCTTTCCGCAGTGAACACAAAGGCATTGAGAGTGTTCAAAAGGAAAATAATAAGAATACATGGAGCAGTGAAGGAAGGGAATAGATGGAGGATATTGAAGAATGTAGAAGTAAATGACATTTTGCAATGGGAGTATATTGTGCGCTTCATTAGAGCAAGAAGGATTGGTTGGTTCCATGTGGAGAGAATATCTCAAGGAAGACAGCCCAAAGAACTATTTTGCCAGAACATGGAAGGGACCAGGAGAAGGGGTAGCCCGAGAAGAAGATGGCTTGAAAAAGTAGAGGATGACCTGAGGACGTTGAGAGTTAGGAATTGGAGAGAGATGGCGCAAGATCGAGGCGATTGGAGGCAAATTGTAGTGGAAGCCAAAGGCCGCCAAGGCCTGTAGAGCTGCGGAAGTAAGTATGTGTGACGCAGAGGTATGCTCCAGGGAAAGGATACCTCTGGAACAATGTCAAGCATAAAATCACCCAGTACCTGTTATTGTTTGGAGGATTCCAGTGCATTACTTAACACTCAGTTCTACAACAAATATTTATTTCAATCTAGTGGTTAAATCTTTTCACAACTCCTCATTTGTTTGATGGTTTGTCAACCAAATCACAACATTACGTTGGTTGTGGTCCCAAGTGTAGTGTGCTGGTCATAAGGTTCTTGATCATTCTGTATGAAAATAGCTCAAGTACTCATAGTTTCAATGTTCAACTTGCATCTTTGTAATAATGTATTATTTGTTGTAGAACGAGGCCAGCGAAAGTCTGCGTTCCTTCACAAAACTTGAAGATGCGTCCCCTCTTGTGACAGCAATAGACTTCCCCCTTAATAGATTCAGTGTTATGGAATATGGTGCTGAAATCACTGAAGACTCTGTCAAGACATTCGTTTCAAACTTTATAAGCAATAAACTTCCATTTAGACCAATCAGTATGAGTGAGAGTACACCTAGTGCATAGGCAAATGGTTGCAATAAATAAATAATTTAGAGAATAAACTTATAGGTCGATGCTAGTCAAAAATGTTAAATTTTTAATAGTCTCATAGAAAAGAATTTCTTCCATAGAGTATATTTTGGCCTTAGTAAATGAATATTAAAGATAATAGTTTTGTATATAAATAATTCTGATCTCATATGAAATATTTTCATACAATCATGTAGGTACTGAATGTAAAATATTAATTTGGTTTGTGATATAACATATTATTTAAGAGATAAACTTATGATAATTTTAAAATGCATTATGTACTGTGTTGTTTTGTTTGTTGTTGAAAGTTTGAATGTTGTGTCGTGGTTTTTAAGTCTGGAAGGGATATTGTTCAAACATAGCAAACATAAGTGAAATCACCATGTTTTTAAAACTAAACTATAGCTTAGTTCAGCATAAATATCTCTTTGTATTTTTATTTTTCTACTGTCAATACTATACCCAGTACTACAGAGTTTTATGACAGTAGAATTACCACGATGACGAGATAATTTTTCAAAATGTAATACAGTAAAACCTATCACAATTAAGCTTGAAGAAGAGTCCTGCTCCTCAGCACTTCATTGAGAATAGATCATTTAGGAGCTTATAACATAAACCTTATCATGACCTCAAATCTTTTACATGGCAAATCCCTTTTAATCTATTCCAAAATCCCAGCTTTCATGGGTGTGGACCTTAGAAATTACTATATTGAGGAGACTATTCCTTATGAATGGAAGGGGGTGGATGGAAAGGAGTTTGACCACTTTGGCAAGATCAGCTTTTTATCAATAATGAATCCTAATAGATACTGAATCTTTTACAATTGATCTCTTTGATCATAGCAAACCGGTTTAATTCCATTCCTCATTCAAATTTTTTGAAAGGATGAAGAACATCACAAACAATCTCTGAATGGTCTCTTAAGTTTCTAGAGCTACAGTTTTCCCCTGACGGTGATTGGTTTACCTTCTATAGGAATCGTTCTAGTTTCAGACCAGATTCCTGTTACCGACTATCGGCCATCGGGAGTGTGTTTATTGAACCAAAGGACATGCATGCAAAGGAAACTTCTCAAACACTTTTGCCCTGAGGTGGGTAGGTGTAAACTGGAGGTGCAGAATGTCAGAATATGAATGACATTTAGTTATTAATTGCACTTTGATGGCTCTTCCTTGTGAATTTTTCAATCTCCAAAGTAACAGTCAAAGCTGAACTTGGATGGATTAGCTCCTCGGATTTAACTTTGTAATGGGGAGATCTGGGGGAGGGGATCTTCTTTTTATTTGATTTTTAACTTCATCTTTAGACAAGTTTACGAAAGTATATTGTATTGGCGGTTCTTTTTACAATTCAAGTATCCCTTGTAGCTGACTGGAAAGGCCATAAGATATATATAGTTCATACTACACATAGCTTTTGTTATTATAGATAAGTAATAACGTGCAGAACAAAACTTACATAGCTTACATCCATCCTTCAGCATCACAAAGATACATGAGCCATTTCCATACTTACTAAACATAGGATGTAAACATTTTAAAGAGAAAAGTGATGTAAATAACAAAGTTAAATTTTGTTTAACCCAATAAAATCTTGTAGTTTTTTTATTAAAACTTATTTTTTTTTATACCTGTAACAAACAAATTATTTGCTAACCATCGGTTTTAGTGCCAAATAATCCTAATTAGTAGCTGATTATTTAACGTGTTAACAAAGCTGGATTGCAGAGAAAGTTATTGGGCGGTAAAAGAGTAAAATACAAGGTAAATAGCTTGAAGGACAAAAACTATAATTAATAGTTTAAGAGAAAATAATAAAATTAATGGGTAAGGTAATTGTGAATCTGCAATTTGTTGGGCACTTGAGGTCGGGGGGTGATACAACATGTCTAGCAAGGGGTCAATGAGAGTATTTAAAATAGAATTAAAAAGCACATATAAAACTAAAATGGTACCCTTGACTTGAATTATCAAGTGTGGAGAGGAAGGCAGTGTTGTCATCTTTGGCAGCATCATGGCATTGAGAGTCCTAGAACGTGTGCTTCTTTCTTGCAAAATGTTGAGAACGTAACGCACCCAAGTTCATGGACACAGAATAAGCTTACTAAAAGACGGGAGTCATGGATGTTACTAAAATGAACGTAATATCTAGAGGATGATACATGGACTTGCACACACTGTCTTGAGGTTTGAAGAGTCAATTTTGTTAGAACACTGTAACACAATTTGGTTTATATTCACACAAAAAGGGGAGTTTTTAATGTAAATACTGTTAAACTATAAAATGTTGAAAGAGGGCCAGGTATAGAGGATCTTTAGCCTTAAAATTGAAGTAGAGAGAATAGGAATTAATGTCTCGAGAAAAGGTTGATGAAAAGAGTAACGAGTAGCTAACACCACAAGAGATGGACGCCAACCACAGATTAGGCAGGACACCATTGACAGGGGGGGGGGGGTCACTCTGATATACAATTTTGCTTAGATGGTTCTAGCAATTTGTCTGCCAATCAAAAGCGCGACAGAGGCATACACGCTGCCATGTGAGTTATGGGTAGTACACGGGGGACCCAATATTCTATGTTTTTTTTTTTTAAGTAAATGCAATTTAAAAACGTTTATATACTTGCCATTTTTTCTCTAAAGCTTCTCGTTGAGGAGTTACAGCGTGTTACAGCTAAGAAAAAATTACTTGGGGGGTACATTCTGCGTTATGTAGCTCCTTAACGAGTAAGTTTAGGAAAAAAAAATCAACGGGTAAATAAGACCCGTTACAATTAAAATTGCTATTAAAATTGCATCTAAATTCTAAAAAGACCAACATACATACATAAAAAATAATGATTCCATTGTTTCAAAAATGGCCACCATTTTCCAAAATAGCAGCAAATTTGAAAATAGGAAAACTTTGTATTTTTTTAATTGCATTTGTTTTCTAAAAGAACCATAGAATATAGGGTCTTCCGTAAGAAAAATCAAAGTTGGTGGTCATATTGAAAAAATGGCAGCTAACATTATTTTTTGAACTTAACCAATATTTTTTAAATAAAAAATCCAAGCGGTTACAACTAAACATTTTTTATATCTCTCATAACTTTTGAATAAAACAGCTGGCACAATTATAATAATCACCCTGTATAAAAGTGAACTTAAAGCAAGACATTTTAATCAATAAAACTCCAACTACTAGGATTGTTTACTATTTAATTAAAAAATCTTAGAACTGAAGTCTTAGATGAATATATATAAAATTGCAGAATGTCCATTCACACATTCTTAATCTACCTTATTGACTGGAGTAATTAATGAACGATAATTAATTATGTTTGATGGCTCTAATGGTTTAATATCAAGGTACTAGGAATTTTATGGTTCTAAAGTTGATTTCTGACCAATTGGGAATCTAAGGGCCAATGTCAAATGTATACAGAGTTACCATTTTGTTTGGAAGCATTTACAGTTACTCTGAGTCTTGTTTGAAAATAAATATTGGATTCCTAACTTAAAATCACAAGCCTGGGGCTTGTATTTCCATATTTTGCTACGATGACGTCGGAAACTGTAATATTTTCATTTCTCTACAAATTGGATTTTGTTAAGCAGAAAGCTGTTGATTAAATATACTCTTTGTGACTCTGTGTATTAAATAAGTAGTACATAGTGTATTAAAATGTCTGTTAAAAATATTATGCTTATATCACGATCTATCATGTTAAATAACACCGACAGGGCTACTAAAAAAATATGGCAGTGGTACACAACACTAGCATATTTGAAAAAAAAGATGCTATAAACTGGATGCAAACCGTTATGTTTTCAAAGAGTTCACCTGATATTGATGAAAAAAGAGCACATTTAAAATCTGAAGTTATAATAATTTAATGAGTTGAGTACTTCACTAGCTGTTGTATTTTAGTCTGAAATTCAATCCTGAAACTAATGGTCAACACATTTAATACGATCAATCTTGTATCATTGATTAACTGTCATGGACACTGTGGATTATTGTGTATGGTCCTGCTTATCATTCTAATGGCTTTAATCTCATACAGTGTTAGTGAATTGTCATATTGGACTTATCGACTTATTTTAGGCTTGTTTAATACTTTTTTACTAACCTATTACTTTTTGTAAATGTAAAATTCATCAATAATGTTTATCTTGGGTTGAGACACCAACTAACCACATCAACGATATAAATAATAAAAAAAATAAAAAAACATAATTTTTAGATCCTCATCAACCATTATGACCCACTATGATATGTGTAAAATATGGTTGATTTAGATTGTCCTCTAAAGTCTTAACAGCCGCTGTAGCAGTTATAGTCCAGTCAAGGAATGAAGTGTAGAGTGCGTGAGCAGGTAACTGAGCGATTCCTTCAGACTTAATTGATCCAAAATTAAGGCGAGGGCGAGGTAACAAAATGTCGAGTTTTTGTGTTTTTTTATTGGAAATATAAAAAAAATCCTTAAATCATCCCATTTTTAAACACTCACCCTCGCTTTAATTTTTGACAAAATTTCATGATTTAAGTGTCAAATTACTGGAAATTTGGTCAAGATTTCCAGAATATCAGTTATATTTCCTTTGGGCGGATAGGATTTGCCCCATTTCGCATACTAATTTACATGTATTTCTTATGGAAGGAGTATTTTAATAAGATATCAATTAAATAAGTTATAACTCGTAATCTGTTGAACCAAAATAAACACATTATATATTTTTCTTGTAGAAAATTTAATCTTCTTCAATTTTATAATTTACTATAGTGTACAAAAAGTTGATAGTTTTCGAGATATAATCAAAAAACCCAAAATGCGTACCTTTCTCCCCACCTTTTTCCCCCCTCCACCCCCTGGCTCACCACCTAGGAGTCAGGACTTTTGGTATGTTAACACCCTAAGCCCCCTGAACAAGTTTCTGAAGGAATCGCTTAGTTACCTGCTCACGCACTTTACACCTACTTTGGATCATTCATTGACTGGACTATTAGGAAACGCTGGCCTTTGAGCTCCTTGTTGGTATGAGGGAGAGGGTACAGACAAAAATCATTTGGAGCCAGATCAGGGCTGTAGGGTGGGTGTAGCACAGTTTCGATTCCTCTTTTGGCAAGAAATTGAAGCAAAGTTTTGGCAACATGGGGGTGAGCATTGTCGTGATGCAGTTTCCAGCGTCTGACAAGGTCTGGCCGCTTTTTTGGAATGTGGTCTTGGATTAGTTGTTTTAATACTAAAGTTTAGTGCTCCCCATTAGTTGTCTGACCCATATGTTGTATGGGTTTACAACATACCACGATAATCAAAGAACGTACCCTTTCAACTCACATGATTCCCATCCATTTGTAAAGTCTTTATGTTACCTAAAACAGGTTCTTTCACTCGTTTTATCCATACCAAAAGCTTTTTTTCCAAGTCGCTGTTAGTATCCGTAGCACTTTTCCTCAGTTGTACACAAAACTTTTTTGCACATCTTTGCTAACACAAATCAGCCATAGTAAACCTTGGAGGCACAAATTTGCAACTTTGTATTAATTGGTTGTAATGACAACAATATGTATGCTATAATGTTAGCAGCTGATTTGGTTGTTGCTAATACTTCAATGTTTCATACCAACTTGAGAAAAACTAATTATTGTACTTCCTCTGTCCACATGTTCACTACTGTCAGTCTTTATTGAACACCCCTCCTATATACAGTACTGACTGTCAGGAAAGAGAAATGGGCATAGGCCCTGTTATATTCACTGTTATCACAGCTGTTATGTACAGTATAGTAAACATTTGGCCTGCAAAATATTCATATACTTAAACAAGAATTTTATATCCAGCTGCATAGAACACCCAAGGCACAGTACTGTATTAGTATATCTTGGTTGTTGATATCACAAGATGATCTAGTGACATTGCTGTTATATAATATGTCCCTATAGTGTGTAATACTAGTTCCCAGCAATATGCAGTGCTTCTCTAAATCTACATAAGTAGGTGATAAACCCAGAGTTACCCTTAAGTACCAAGCTTACCAAGGGCTCCCTCCTGGTAGAAGTTTTTTGTCAAGCACATCCGTAAACCTTCCTATTTATTTTTGGTACAGATTGTAGTAGTATGTGTTTGGTTGACATATGCATTTGGTATTGTTTTTTGTTGCTTGGGTTTGCTTAAGAAGTGGACTAAGCCTGGTTTACATTTTTCCTCTTCGATTGTTTTCTCAGATTTAAATAAGATTTTAGGAAACATCTTAACTAATTGTAGTAAGTTATAGGAGATATTATGAGCTTTCATAAATTTATATTCCTATATTCTTTGCAATAGTTTGTTCAAATACCTAAGGTGGTTGGAGATGGGGTCTCCATATTAAAGTACCAAGGATGTGTATACCGTAATCAGCAAGGGATTGAAATAGTTATTTGTGTAACTAGTGGTGAAAGTGGCACTTTGCTGCACACGAGAGCAATGTTTACGCACGAGCCGCAGGCGAGTGTGGAATGATCTCGAGTGCAGCAAAGGCCTTTTTCACTCGTGTTACACATTATATTTTTCCTACAGTCACTATAAAGCATAAATAATTAGTCTTTCAAACACTATGCAACACGTTTTTAGGTTCAGCTGGCAACACAAATGGAAATGGTGCCCTAGAGAAAGTAGTACCCGCGGTTCATATCACTCCGCTATTTTTCCTCGGCAAGAAATGTGCTCCGCGTTTTGAGAATATAGTTCCGTATGTTTTTGTAATTTGAAGTGGTTTCCGCGCCTAAAAAAATGCTTAAAAGGTATTTTCTTGTTTATTAAGATCGTAGGAAGGTTTTAAAAACGTTTAAAAGAAAAGTCCAGAAAGTCCAGAAATACCGAAACTATAAACACGAAATGACAGGTTAAATCGTAGTTATAATAGTAAATCAGCTGCTCATAGTATAATTATCTTTAAGTGTTGCCAACCTATTTCCAAGCGTACACGGATTACGTGCATAATGGAACCACGCTGTTTTGTGTTGTTTCGTTGGAATCCTGATGTGCGGCAAAGTATAAACCGTACGGCAAAGTATAAACCGTACGGCAAAGTATAAATATGCAGCAATTAGCAGCTTTCTGTACTATAAACAGTACAAGGAAGCCAACTTTGTCGGGTGACTGTAGGAAAAGGACTTTTGTGACACCATCTCGCTGATCCTCACACCCACCCCAGCCCAGAACTGCAATCATGTGAGTGATGAGGTCAACGGCGTTACCAAACGTCTGTTTTGACACACACACCATCTTGTAGGCTGTAATCTCTGGGCTCAGTAGATCCTCAAGTCAACCTCAAATCCATCCATGCCAGACTCTCCCAACTCATCTGCTTAATTAAAAACCATGAGATCGATATCCTGAACTTTTACGAGACCAAATTCTTCACAATACTCCTGCCTCTATTCCTGGCTTCACCCTGCTTCGACGAGATCAACTCACTAATTCCAGTACCCTTGTCTTGCTTTTTGATTAATGTTACTATCCTTTCCATTCCCCATAGACCTGACATAGATATCCGTCCCTCCCGACTCCCTGGTGAGGTGACCCTTCCTTCCTTCTCATGGCCGATATCCATCTCTTCCTTAAACTTCCAATCACACTTCTGACCCTATACGCCAATCCCCTATCTCTGAAATTGTAGACCTACTGGCTCATGTTGCTACTTCCCACCCAAGAATGGACAGTGGTCATAGCAGCCTACCTCAACTGTCACCATCAGGCACTGGGTGACCGCATACCTCGGCCCCGGGTAGGCTACTACTTCAGTTCCTACTAGAGTCCTAAATAGTCCACCACTCTACCCCACCCACTAAATAACTCATGCAGAAAACTCCCAACATCCCCTAACAAACTCCTGTCCTCAGCCTGACTTCCCAGAAAGTTCCCAAAATGTTTTCTAACAATGACATAGGCAGGACAACATTCTACAAATGCTCGTCCTGTTTTAAGTAAAAAAAAACAAACGTGAAGATCATTGAGTAACCTGAAACTAAAACATTATTACACATAGATTTATCATATTGACGTGGGACAATGGTTGCTCTTATATAAACAAACACTCATGGAAGGACGAGCCCTGAGGAACGCCTCACCTTTACAACCTTTTTTAAACATACGTTTTGAATGTGGGTTCGTCACAGAGGCCGTCAGTTTCAGCATAGATTTTCATCGGTAGTTGAAAGACAAAAGAATATGAGTAATACTACAGACAAAGAAAAAACAGAGTTATGATAAAAAATAGAGGTAAAATAGAGAATTAACGAGATTTTGTCACAGTGGTCGTGCTTACATAATATTTGGAGTGGATTGCGGGGCTATGGACGGATTAATTATCCAAGGAATAACTTGAGGTGACATTTAGCAGAACCTTGGCGGTTGGGGCGGCTCGGTGGCGGGTCTGACGCTGGCAGAACTAACGGCGGCATTGTTATCTACTGACACGCTCACTCCCTATCACGGCCACCGGCGTAGTGCAATCGTGTCGTAAACAGACGCAATGTTCACATACCATCTCCGACTCCAACTGTCGCACGCAAATATTATTCTGGACCCTAACACGGGGATGAGAAAAGCACACATTATTTCAAATTGGTGGATGATTTTTTTAAAGTTAACTTACGTGGTGATAATGTTCTACGTCTGGTTTCATTTTATTTGGTTGATACACTATGTTTTGGTTTTATTAGAAAGCATAACTATGGATGTAAACAGGTGTGAAAAATAGTATCCACATATTAATTATCAAGAGAACTGTAGAATTATACGCCTTGACATACTGTCGTCAGCTGAGACTAAAACTATACCCGTTACTTCGGAGGAAAATTGAAAATTAACCTTGTCCAGTCAATATAAATAGCTTGAGCATACAAGATCATTGATAAGACGCCTAATCAAGGATCAGAGGAGAGTTTCAATTTGGGCACCATGGTTCGTATCATTACAAACTTCCGGGCACGTACAATCTTCTTTTGCACACATAATGTAATTTGTCTTCAGACCAGTTTTGTAACGTGAATAAGTAGCCTACAAATGGCATATCTTGGTTCTGGTCGAACAAGAGAGTAACATATTTATGAAGTCTTCAGATTTGAATAGACCGGGTGGTTTTTCTTTATCATGAACCCACGATCTTGTCTAACCACTTAGGGTACTCGTTTGTGATACCAACTACACCAGGGTTTCTGTTATATCCAACACACCAGGTTAGGTTAAGGATATGTTAGGTTAACTGTATGTTAAAAAATAAATTTAATTTCATTAAAAATGTTTGTTTAGCTTAACCAAGCCTAGCCGGGGTAGTCGGTATGACAGAAGAGTACCCTAATAGTTTGCATGTTAATAGAGAACACATTTTTGACTTTAAGACCTGACCTGACCTTAGCCGATCATCATAAGAAGTTTTAACTAAATTTACATACTACTTACGTTAACTGATGAGCAGGGAATTACTGTTCCGTCCTCTACGTTGCTTGAAAAATCATATACAGTAGAGTATTATTAATATAGAGACCGAGTTTATAATTATCAAACTACGACCAATAAGTTGGCTGCTATTCATATGGCAAAAATTCAGATTAATGTTGGCTTTGGGGGATTAATTTCGAGCTCAGAGGCGGGGTCCACCACTACAACACTAGGAATAAGCAGGATCTAAACATACCTTATGTTAAGACTAAAGAAAACCCAGGCTAGTAAGGAAATCTTGAGCTTGAAATTAATGAACAAATTACCTTGTACAGTTCGGAACCTGCCAATCACTAAATTCCAAAAGAGGGTGAGGGAGTTTCTATTGGCTAACCCACTTTACTCAATCCATGAGTTTTTTAAACTTCCTGACAACTTGTAAGTATGTTTTTATGAGTTTTGAAAGTGTGGTTTTATTTTATTTTCTATGCATGGAGTGTTGCAGGAACAAACAAATCATGTAATTTTTGCAATTTTTTAGTACTCTTACTTAGTATTAGTTTTTTTTTTTTTTTTTTACTTTTTCCATACATGTGTCATGTTCACTGAAATAAAGCATTTCATTTCATTTCATTTGTTATCCATGCCCGATTTTGCATCCCAAAAGAGACCATATTTTTACTCGATTTTGCATCCCAAAAGAGACCATATTTTTACTCGATTTTGCATCCCAAAAGAGACCATATTTTTACTCGATTTATCATCCCAAAAAAGACCACATTTATACTCGATTTATCATCCCAAAAATGACCACATTTGTACTCGATTGCGCATAACAAAGTGGTGTGATACGTGGTTATACTCGCAACAGCATAATCGTGATCTACCAACTCTCAAGGATTTGTTAAGGTCAACTATTTGTTGTTTTTGGAGCCACCTATTTGATTACGTATCTTTTCAATCACCTACTATTAGCTTAACTATTCTGTATACGAAGATACTGTAGACTATGTAACTGTTTAGACGATTGTAAATTTTTATAAAGATCGATTCAACTCCTTTGAAAGAGTAGTACGAGTTTTCGTCCGGATTAGATCCTTCACAGTTGTGTGGACAATAGGGTAATCAGCATCACACAACTCCCAGTAGGCGCTGACACGTGTCCTCAAGGTTTCAACATGAGCGGATTTCAAACAGCGATAATTGAAGTATTCTGAGACGGGTGAGTTGTCACGCGCGCGAGACCCATGCTTCCGCCCAGGAAGTTGCGAGCATGTCCATGCTTCTGTCCACCGTCCACCCGTTGTCCATCAGAATCTATATCTGCAGTGATGTAACTGTGACACTTTCCTCAGCCTCCCTCCAGCATCCAACCTCTCACGCACGCCTTTCTAGTCTTTCATGTTGATAAAAGTAGACCTCATTGTGAATTAGCTTCTTTATAGTTGCTCCATCTCCATTGGATCCTGGAGAAAACTGCTTGATCACGTATTACAGAGAAGCTATTATGGGTGATATGAATTGTAACGTTATACGCCTTTGGTGGACTATGCATTTGGATTAACTTGTTTAATGTAGCATTTACTTTTAAATTCTGAAATAGACATCTCATCTTTATACAACTGTGGGTACTTCTGCATAAAATAGCATAATTAAAGAGCCTTTACAGGAAGTGCCATAGTTTAAATTTATATTTTCTACATCAGTTTTTGTTACTGTTATAGCTGATGTGAGATAAGGTAAAATATGCCATAGTCTACAATAAGCCGTCACTGCAGCTTTATTTGGTTAAACATTTGGCGTATTCGAGTAAAACATCAGCGCTCTTTGTTATTGGTTTTATCCAACTTCCTTCATTTTATTCTAAACTGATAACATCTCAATAATGGAATTTCTAGTTTTTCCCAAAGCCAAACGTTGTATTATTTTATATAAATGTATATCGACTATTTTTAGTTTCCTACTGCTATAATAATGTGTAATGTGTGTGTATGTATGATAGCCAATACATAGCCCCTATATAGTTTGATTCACGTGTATAACAATTTGATTAGTTATTCTTCTCTGCTTCTTTAGCATTGTTTTTCTATATACGTGTTATTTAAACTAGTTGGAAACAAAGTCTGTATTTGATTATAAAAAACTAAATAACTTTTGTTTTAAGAAGTCTTGTTGATTGTGGTTCCGACGACGAAGGGAACTTATTTATCACAAATTAAAATGTTTATGCGTAATGATATTTGAGAAAAGATTCATTAAATTTAAGATGATTTCAAAAGTTAAATTCACGCAAATGGATTCTGATTCAGTTACACTAATTAATTAAGTAAAACCTTCCTAACATGATAGTTTTCAGTGGTTTTACGCAGTTCAAAACATTTTACCATTGACCTATATTACCTCCCCAATCTTAATTGATAGTATATTTCTATCTTCGCAGTTGGTTATTCTTTTATGAAACGTAAAGCAATCCTAATTATTTCTGCACGCGTTCCAACTCGAAGCCTGAATCACGCAAACGAAGATGAGATAAGGCGTTCTGTTCTGCCGCCGTATCATATTGTCTCTGTCTCCAAGGACTTGTGCCATTGTCTTTAGACAATAAAACGTCTTCCTCTGACCTTCATCTGTTACAAAACAGAAAATTAACCAAATTAAAGTAAAACTTTTAAACTCCTATCTTTAGAAAAACTGCGTGTTTTCCTCGTAGCCTGCTTTTGCATTGTTTCATGTGATCAAAAGTGTAGGACTTATCTCCACATTTTCTGAGTATAATCCAGACATTATTTGAAAGAGGAGACGTATACTTGTGATATACAGTAAAGCCATAAAAATGTATAATATTTAAAACCTAAAACTACTTTTTCGTTGAAAATTTAACTCACTCCCAATACGAGTACAATCTACCCTACATCACCCAAAGTTTATACACTAGGAACGTTTAAATTAATTTAAAAATAAACCCTTATCCTCATACCTGGATTATAGCATCCAGCAAATCACATTTCTAAGTCACTATAGACATAAAAACTGTTTATAAAATCTCCTTAGATTTTTGAACACCTTTTGAGGTGTTCAAAAGTCTTCTTCAAAAAGGATGAGGGAAATCTGTTGAAAAAATAATTTGTCAAACAGGAAGGAGACTATTTACTTGAAAGTTTTTAATTGAAAGGATCCAATTCTGAACGTTTTAAAGAAACTAGAGTACCACCTCTATAACCATAGCAATATGTGCCTTGAACGCTAAGTGAAAAATATCAGGGGAACTCTCATTTTGCCTCATATATTGCTTATATACTGTATATTGCTCTCATATTGGCAATGCAAAGAGAGTAGTTCATTTATGACTATATATTTTCAATTTATGTTTATCAAAATGGAAATATCACCAAATATACTTAAAACACTTTAGAGTTTAAAATAGATTGAATTTTAGGTAATACAATTTTAAATTCGATCTTACTTTTGAATTTTAAAAATATTTTACTAAGAAATATTATGAATATTCCAAAATTCCTTGCCCTGCCATATCACTGATTTGTATCTTTTTGGGAGACTAACCCGAAAATAAAACAATTAAAAACAAATAAAACCATCATATTCTTAGGGAGGGATTTATTTTACATAGACATTTCGTTGAAAGTAAGAGTACAGTTTAAGATGGACTCCGTTTTTAGAGTTTAAAATAGATTGAAATTTAGTTTATGTAATTTTAAATTCGATTTACTTTTGAATTAAAAAATATTTTACTAAGAAATATTATGAATATTCCAAAATTCCTTGCCCTGCCATATCTCAGATTTGTATCTTTTTGGGGGACTAATCCGAAAATAAACAATTAAAAACAAACAGAACTATCATATTTTTAGGGAGAGATTTCTTTTACATAGACATTTCGTTGAAAGTAAGAGTACAGTTTAAGATGGACTCCGAATCTACCTTAAAACTCTTTCATAAATGCTTTATGAAATCCGGTCGTCATGGGTTAAAAAAACATAAACACAGAGAGACATAAAAAGTCATTAGGTAGAGTTTAGACATGAACTTTCAAGGCAATACTGTCACCATAAACTTTGGTCCCTACGAATAAAATGTTTATGAATGTTCTCTTTGCTAAACATTTTATAAGTGGCACACTCGGTAAGAATAAAACTACCATTTTCGACACCCGGAAATCGTATCAACCCTTTGAATCATATCAGAAGGACATACAATCTGTCTTGTACCAACTGACTAGCATCAACAGATGCTCCAAGTCGCCTCGTACCAGTGACAGCGACCCAGTGCCTGGTAGTCGGAAGGTCGTCCATGATAAGGTTATAACATTTGTAGTTTGCAAGTGGGGGTGTTCGCTTGAGTGGTGCTCAGTCTTTCGTCTGCGTGCGGTGATGGGTGACCGAGTGGTTCTACTACTTTTGCTGAGGCTGCTATCGCCGCTGCTGCTGCTGATCCTAGTGCCTTCGACAGCTGCTACTGGGACGCTGCTCCAACTGCCGGGGCTTGGTATGTTCAAACAGCTGATTTTCTCAAAATAATCAAAACTTCAATTTTTTCCAAATTATATTTTTCAAACAGTTTTTCAACCACTTAAGCTAATTTAAAATTTGGGTTCTAACTGGCTAATCATACGGCAATGTCAACGTTTGAATGGCCACATAATAAAAGTCAATACTGAAAATTTAACAAATAAAATTAATTTCATAAATACCGGTAACTAATTTACAGGCGTGTTAAGATATAAATGAACTTAATAAGAAGTATCTACTATTTTAAGTATTGAAAATATCTTGTTAAACCCTCAAAGAGACCAAATTGACTTGCAACAAGTTATTTACAAATAGTTGCATATTAGTTTGCAACAATATCTGATTAAGTAATTGTTTGCTGTGATATAGATTATATTTACTAAGCAGCTATGGTTTTCACAGTATTTTGTCTTATGAATGGAAATTGGCTTGTAAAATGTGCTAGTGTTCTTTTAGCTTGTATATTTATACAAAGAGAAGTAACTTATACTGTATTCTATGTGACAAATTAGGATTTGTTTATGGGAAGATAGATAGTTTATTAGTTACAAGTAAAGGAGGAAAAATTATTGACTTTGTTTTTTAAGTAACTTCATTACCTTTAGTTAATATAGCGTATATTACTACCAGTAATATATACTATTGATAATTTCTATTTCAACAAAATTCACGAAATTGAAGCTGTTGACAATAACAGTCATAAAATTGTAACCAGATCAATACAACTATGAACATAATCAATAATCAAATCTAAAATGCTAATTAAAATCAATATTATTCAAACCTTTAGTTGCTTAGCTAAACCAATATTTAATAAAATCCAACTATTTGTTAATATTCAGAGCGTGTGTGTTTAAATTAACGCTTAAAACAGAATAGGTTTGTATTTAATCCAATTTACGGTAAATTGAGACTCATCACTGATTTGAAATTTATCATCTTCCAAATCCTATATTACATACATTTTAAGAGAGGGATGTTTAGTTGACATTTAATATTTATTAATATAAATACAATCACATAAGTAGGGTTTTAATATTTTAGTGAGTGAATATTTATTTATTTATTGATATAATTTATTGTAGATATTCCTCGATTAGTAACCTATCAATTTTAACACCAAAAGTACTGTGTTTCTAAGTTATTAGTTTAGATAAAAATGACGGCTCAATGGATTGTTTATTTAGCTTATTAACTAAATTAAGATGCAACAATTTGTGTTCTAGAGAAGCATAAATGTACCAAGCATTTTATTTGACCCCAAAACATAAATTATATCTTGTTAAATATTAAGAATTATAAAAAAAACAGTTTTACAAAAATCCATATAAGTTAAATATACATTGTAAATACTGAGATGAATCAATACCCCAGTCAGCATAAAAATTGTTGGAAAAGAAAATAAATTGTTTCAAAATTGTTTCAAAATTGTTTCGAAATTGTTTTAAAATTGTTTTAAAATTGACAAATTTGGAATTTTGTCTATATTAAAATGAGTTTAAAATTGTTGTACAACAATTTCAAAATTGTTGTACAACAATTTTGAAATTGTTATAAAATATTTTTGAAGTTGTTTTAAAACAATTTTGAAATTGTTTTAAAATTGTTGTATAACAATTTTAAAGTTGTTGTATAACAATTTTGAAGTTGTTTGAAAATTGTTTTAAAATAGACAAATTTGGAACTTTGTTAGGGTTAATTTCTATTTGAGTTCATAAATAATAAGTACGCCTTATAAGCAACTAATTAAATATAACATTAATTGATTAGTTTACTATCAAAAACAATGGTGAATAAATAAAAACAAATAAGTATACTGAAATTCTTCTATTTGAAGTAAACAAATTAAAAAAAGTAGAGAAATAATAAAAACACAGTCTACTACATTCTGGAAAATAGAAATGGGTGCATGGATATAAAAATAAAATATTCATGGACAAACTTTAAGTACTCTACCAGCCAGCACAGAATAAATTATTATCTTTTCAATTGCAAATTTAACATTCATATATAGCAATCATTAGTTTGCCTAGGCCTAGACCTAATTATTTAGGAGGGCTTGTATAAACTAAGTAACAAACAATGAGGTTATAATAGCAGCAAATTATCATCATTCTAGTTTATAAGATTTAGATTGCTTAACGCATACAACTCAATAAATAAATATGGGGAACAAAAAAATATTGAAACCCAAACAGCCAACAATAAAAGACAAAGATACATGAAATGCAAGGATATGATTTTTTGAGACCAAGTAGGACTGTGTTATGATAAAAAATTAATGCAAACAACAATGCTCGTGGTTTTGTCAATTGAAAGATAAAATGTCCATAAAAGAGGATTTAACTTATAAAATAACACTGTATATTAATTCGAAGTTTAATATGAAACCGTAAACAGTTTTGAAGGGAGTAGGCAACGGCCAGCGGCAAATTGAATCTTCAAGATGAAAGTACAAGTAAGAAGTTAAATTTAACAGCTAATATAAAACTATTATTCCCATGATCAAAAAGGTTTGGGATCTAATGATAATTACCCTAGTAATAAATAAATAAGTTGTCAAGGAATGACAGTGATACAACTTTTATGAGCTTTGCTACTGAGTCATAAGTTTTTTGAAGTACTTGACTTGATGTGATTGTCGAGATAAAATATTTATGGCTTTGAGATTGCTAATGTGGTTTCTATTGCATAATTACTCCATAGATTACTATGACTATTATGATTACTATATGATGACTATATAGATTACTATTAAAATGATGAAAATGTAAGCAAACATTTTATAAAAAACCTTTTATGTTCTTCTAACAAATTTTTATATCATACTTAAAATGGCCCACACAATTATTTAAGGACAATTACCACTAAAAATTACCCATATTTACTAAAAACAGTACATTTCAGTAAAAAAATAAGTTCATTCCCAGATTTCCCGGTTCGTAGACACTCTGACAATACATTATTTACACATCATTCAAGCGTCGGCGGCTTCACGATCCTCATCTTCCTGTTCTTCAGGTGCTCTTTGACACCCTGCCCTAAAATTATAACACACAGATTAATATTATATTTCGTTACTAGGGACCCCTGAATGTTTACAGCTGTTACGTTAAGCAAATGGCATTATAGCAAAAGCTAGTCTAGAATGTTGACGTCAGCAGCTTGACTTAAAAAAAATGAAAACTTAATTTCAAAAAAACTGAAACCCTAAACTGAAATTGTGCCTTTCACATTCCCTTTCACAAAAATAGTGAAAATCTATCAAGTGGTAGATTCAGAATCGTGAAATAAAAAAACCCTGTCAAGTATTAATGATTGTTGCAGTATTTGTCTGAGATAAATAAAATCACCTGAGCTTTAGTATAACAATATAGCCTACTATCAAAACTGAAGCATCCGGAATTAAGAGAGAAAGCTAGTAGCATATTGTTTTGTTAGCCTATGTTTTTAACCTCACTAAGTGAATTTTGTAATACAAATTATCACACTATACATACCCTTTCTAAGTCTTTGATTTTAATTGTGTCTGTGGCAGCCATGAAGCAACTGATTTCTCTATTTTGCTTTGTTCAATGTTGGCCCATCTCTTTTTCGTCATTTCTTCAAAAAACAAAATGCATTTAATAGAACATTGCAAAAAAAATTTCTGCAATTTTTGTGGAGTTAACATTTATTAAAAATTATATAATAAATGAATAGCCTAACATGTATGTTTGCGCTCAATATTTTTTTATAATTTATAAGTCTACACATATTTTAAAATAGCCACTTTGTTCTAAATTTTATAAGGATTAGGCCTACAAAAATATAATAATATAAGGAAGAAAAATTGAAAATAAATAAGTTATGGGTGAAAAACAGATTTCGTACATTAAGCGTTAGCTAAGAATGCATAGCCTAATCATAGCTAGGAATCTGGCCGATAATTTACATCAATATCACTACCTACTTCTTCAGGATCATCAACCAGCCCTTCAAAATCACTTTAATCTTCTTATAATTAAATTCTTATAATTTTAACACTAAGACAATGGAAACGTTTAATAAAACACATCAGTCATCGGTCGGTGGTTAACCAAGTTGTTTACAAATACGCACGTCAGCTGCCTGGTAAAATATTTTTGGAACTAAAATGAAAAGCGTCTAGAAACATACATCAGGAGAAAGCTTAGAATCTGCCGAAAACGATACCAATCTTGATCCAGTTCAATCTGATTAAGTCAGTCCCAGAGCCTTCGCCATAAACGATGTTTGTGTGTCGCAAAAGCGACGCATAACACCACGGCGGATGTGTTGTGCATCGATTACGCGATGCTTAACACTTGGAGGGCTAAATTATGAGTTAACCAAGTTTCAAGGTCTAGTAAGTTAACATATTTATAAACTTAACTTATAGTTGAAAAACCCCTGCAGCCCTTAACACAACAAGTTTAAAAATAGGCTAACTTAACTTAAATCAATCCCTAGCTGATGTAACTTAGCTAGGCCTAAGCCTAAATACCTAGTCATATTACTTTTAAGCAGTTACCGCATTAGGCGACAGGCCCTACAATGTCATTTTCTATTTGAGTTGGGGACGCCACCTAAGTGAGTAATTCAATTCAATTATGAGTTTATAAACTTAATGTTAGATGTCTTGTGTAAGTTAGGTCTAAGTTATTTTAGTTTTGGTTACTGTAAATCCAACTGTATCATTTAGCAACGACCATTTACTAAAAACCCAACGGTAACTTACAGTTTCAGTAACATAGCCTGTTATATTTATGAGAAACAAAAGGAAATTCATAAGAGTTTGCTCACATAGGCTAGGCCAATTCTAGAGATGGGCCATAATCATGTTACCTACCAAATACCTATCAAAGTTATTGGTTAACTTAGACCAGGAACTATTGGAGTACCTCTATTTCATTTTAGGTTAGGCCTATATGTTAGTTTAGAATAACTGAATCACCACTGACTGAAAAGGCCTAAGTA